AATATATAGTTATTTATGCGCGTGTGTGTGTATAAGACATATACATAGTCATTATGTTATGCATTTTGGGGCTTTGTTCCCAGATATATATTCCATTCAGAAACTCATATAACTTCTTTTTTTGAGACTCTATCTTTCCTCTGAGGGGGTTAAAATATGCTATTCTGGCATATTGACTAAGTTAAAGACACTTGAAAAGCAACAGATATGAGAAGATCACCTGACCTTTGTGCTGTTTCTTCAAAGCAGAAGATGAAATTCCCATGTGAAAGTAACTCTCCCTATACTATAAGGAAAGGCATAATTGTTATCTTCAAGGATGAGAAGTTGAGACCAACAGAATACTGTACAGACGTTGTTAGAATAACTCTTATCTTTTAAGACTCCCCATATAATTTAGTCACATTTTCACAGTTTGCTGTTCTTTGTCCAATCCAATACATAAGTAACTGACTCTAAGTGCTTCTTTGGGCCTTCATTTCCTTAAGAGGACTCCTGTGCCATATAAAACTTGTAACTAAATTTGTACGGTTTTCTCCTATTATTCTGTCATGTCAGTTTAATGCTCAGACCCAGCAGGGATCCTACAAGGACGCAGGTGTAGTTTTTCCGCCCCTGCATATAACTACTGCTTGAATGATGGGAAGAAAAGCAAAGAATGAAAGCAAACCTCAGTTAATTGCTCTAAATATTATCCCACTACGTTTGTTACAGCACACGAATTGGTGTTAAATTGGCCAACAGAGAATAGTTATCCTTCGGGCATTTTACCAGGGAGTAAAACTTTGACACTTGTCACCCAATATTTATTACAAACTCTGTTAAAAGAAGCAATATTCAATAAGGGTTGACTGAAAGACACATAGACATTTCAGATTTTATAAAATATATTCCTGGCTTCATTCAAATTAGCAGGAATTTGAGAACCTAGATTGCAATATATTGGTTCTTTTAAGAATTGCTTTCTCTGAATTGCAGTCCAGTGTGGCATCATTTGCCTACATTTGAAATAACTATAAGAAATTGCCCTAAAAAAGTCATTGTTTACTTTATTACAATCCCATCATAAAAGATTTTCACTTCAGTACATAAGGGCCCCTTTAATAAAGAGAAGCTCCTAACTGTAATTTGAACCCCAGGATTCATTGATTTTTTGAAGGGTTTTTGTGTCTCTATCTCCTTCAGTTCTGCTCTGATCTTAGTTATTTCTTGCCTTCTGCTAGCTTTTTTTTTGAAAGACAACAAAATGATAGACCAGCTAGCAAACTAATAAAATAAAAGAAAGAAGAATCAAGTAGACGCAATAAAAAATGATGAAGGGATATCACCACCGATCCCACAGAAATACAAACTACCATCAGAGAACACTATAAACACCTCTACGCAAATAAACCAGAAATCTAGAAGGAAATGGATAAATTCCTGGACACATACACCCTCCCAAGACTAAACCAGGAAGAAGTTGAATCCCTGAATAGATCAATAACAGGCTCTGAAATTGAGCAATAATTAATAGCCTACCACCAAGGCAGACCAACGGAATTCATAAGCGAATTCTACAGGTACAAGAGAAGCTGGTACCATTCTTCGAAACTATCCGTGAAAAGAACAGAGTGAACCACACCTGACTCATGTTTAGCAGGCCAGCATCCACCTAATACCCAAAGCCTGGCAGAGACATACAAAAAAAGAATAATTTAGGGGACAATATGGGCCTGATGAACATCTACGCAAAACTCCTCAATAAAATCACTGGCAAACCGAATCCAGCGCACATCAAAAGCTTATCCACCATGACCAAGTGGCGCTTCATCCCCTGGGATGCAAGGCTGTTCAACATCGCAATCAATTAAATGTAATCCAGCCGTATAATCACGAACAAAAGACAAAAACCACATGATTATCTCAAAGATGCCAGAAAAGGTCCTTTGACAAAAATTCAACAGCCCTTCATCTTAAAAACACTCAATAAATTCGGTATTGATGGGAACTAATCTCAAAATAATAAGAGCATTTATGACAAACTCACAGCCAATACATATGTGAATGGGCATAAACGGAAGACATTCCTTCAAAAACGCACAAGACCAAGGATGCCTCTCTCACCACTCCTATTCAACATAGTGTTGGAAGTTCTGGCCAGGGCAATCAGGCAGGGGAAAGAAATAAAGGGTATTCAATTAGGAAAAGAGGAAGTCAAATTGTCTCTGTTTGCAGATGACATGATTGTACATTTAGAAAACCCCATCGTCTCAGCCCCAAATCTCCTCAAGCTGATAAGCAACTTCAGCAAAGTCCCAGGATACAAAATCAATGTGCAAAAATCACAAGCATTCTTATATACCGGTAACAGACAAATAGAGAGCCAAATCATGAATGAACTCCAATTCACAATTGCTTCAAAGAGAATAAAATACCTAGGAAGCCAACTTACAAGGGATGTGAAGGACCTCTTCAAGGAGAACTACAAACCACTGCTCAACGAAATAAAAAAGTACACAAACAAATGGAAGAACATTCCATGCTCATGGATAGGAAGAATCAATATTGTGAAAATGGCCATACTGCCCAAGGTAATTTATAGATTGAATGCCATCCCCATCAAGCTACCAATGACTTTCTTCACAGAATTGGAAAAAACTACTTTAAAGTTCATATGGAACCAAAAAAGAGCCCACATTGCCAAGTCAATCCTAAGCCAAAAGAACAAAGCTGGAGGCATCACGCTACCTGACTTCAAACTATACTACAAGGCTATAGTAACCAAAACAGCATGGTACTGGTACCAAAACAGATATCTAGACCAATGGAACAGAACAGAGCCCTCAGAAATAATACCACACATCTACAACCATCTGATCTTTGACAACCCTGACAAAAACAAGAAATGGGGAAATGATTCCCTATTTAATAAATGGTACTGGGAAAACTGCCTAGCCATATGTAGAAAGCTGAAACTGGATCCCTTCCTTACACCTTATACAAAAATTAATTCCAGGTGGATTAAATACTGAAATGTTAGACCTAAAACCATAAAAACCCTAGAAGAAAACCTAGACAATACTATTCAGGACATAGGCATGGGCAAGGACTTCATGTCTAAAACACCAAAAGCAATGGCATCAAAAGCCAAAATTGATAAATGAGATCTAATTAAACTAAAGAGCTTCTGCACAGCAAACGAAACTACCATCAGAGTGAACAGGCAACCTACAGAATGGGAGAAAATTTTTGCAATCTACTCATCTAACAAACAGCTAATATCCAGAATCTACAAAGAACTCAAATAAATTTACAAGAAAAAAACAAACAACCTCATCAAAAAGTGGGTGAAAGATATGAACAGACATTTCTCAAAAGAAGACATTTATGGCCCAGCCAAACAGGACACATGGGGAAAAATGGCTATCATGCACTTGGCCATCAGCAGAAATGCAAATCAAAACCACAATGGAGATTACCATCCACACAAGTTTGAATGTGCGATTCATTAAAAGGTCGAAGGAAACAAACAGGTGCTGGGACGATGTGGAGAAATAGGAAACTTTTAACACGCTGGTTGGTGGGACTGTAAACTAGTTCAACCATTGGTGGAAGACCAGCGTGCGACCTTCCCCAAGAATCCGACTAGGAAATACCATTTGGACAAAACCATTCCCGATTACTGGGTATCATTACCAAAGGATTATAAATCTGCTTGCCTTATAAGACACATGCCACATGTAGTTTATTGCGGCACTAACTCACATAGCAGCAGACTTGCGAAACACCCCAAATGTCCATTCACATGACAGACTGGATTAGAAGAATGTGGCACATATACACCTATGGAATACCATGGCCATAAAAAAGGATGAGTTCCTGTCCTTTTGTTAGGGACATGGATGAAGCCTGGAAACCATCATTCTCAGCAAACTATTGTAAGAACAGAAAAACCAAACACCACATGTTCTCACTCATAGGTGCGAATTGAACAGTGAGAACACTTGGACACAGGAAGGGAACATCACACACCAGGGCCTGTCGTGGTGGAGGAAGGGGAGGGAATAGCATTAGAGATAAACCTAATGTGAATGACTAGTTAATGGGTGCAGCACACCAACATGGCACATGTATTACTTATATAACAAACCTGCACATGGTGCACATGTACCCTAGAAATTTAAGTATAAGAATAAAAAATAAAATAAAATTGAACCCCAAATGTCTGTACTTCTTAGCACTTGTTTGTAATTATCTTTTTTTTTTTGAGATGGAGTTTCACTCTGTTGCCCAGGCTGGAGTGCAGTGGCGTGATCTCGGCTCACCGCAAGTTCTGCCTCCCGGGGTTCACGCCATTCTCTGCCCTCAGCCTCACAAGTAGTGGGACCACAGGCACCCGCCACCACGCTGGCTAAATTTTTTGTATTTTTAGTAGAGACGGGGTTTCACCGTGTTAGCCAGGATGGTCTCGATCTCCTGACCTCATGATCCGCCCGCCTCAGGCCTCCCAAAGTGCTGGGATTACAGGCGTGAGCCACCGCACCCGGTCAGTAATTATCTTATAAACATTGTCATTAGTGTGTTTGGTCATGTTTTCCTTTTCACATTCACTGCTAGGAATCTTAGATCCAAACTTGTAAACAACCCACGACGACTATTTAGGTCATTATTTGGGGCTTTGTTCCCAGCTTAATTTGCTATCCCCTCTCTTATTTTTTTCTTCTTTCATCCTACTTTTAGTTTACATTTTGTTGTTGCATCTTCTCTATTCTTGTGAGCTTACTTAAATCCTTTCTGGACATGGAGATACAAACAAATAAATATAAGGTTCATAAACAAATATATTTCAGTAAAGTTTGTATCTATTTTGTAGAGATGGGCTTTCACCATGTTGTCTAGACGGGTCTCAAACTCCTGGGCTCAAGCAATCCACCAGCCTCAGCCTCCTAAAGTGCTGGGATTACAGGCGTGAGCCACATGTCTGGCCAAGAAGCAATTCTTTAAATGTCTTAACCCACCTTCCCATGGTCACAATGTAGGAAGAGTTCAGCGAACATCTGCCTCCGCATGTCAGCTTTTATGACCTCCCGGAATTCATCTGCAGAGTGGCAAAGGTGCTTAAGGAGTTCCTCAAACATTTCACTCTTCAAGTCTTTAATATGTGAAGAGATGTACTACAGGGAAAAAAAGAGGATAAACGATTGACTTAAAACCATGCTCTACTTGGATTTTCCCCAGGATTCAACCAATCTGCATGAAATACATTGGCTGTAAAATGTTTCCATATGATTTGCTTATCACTTAGATGAAGCATTTTCATGTTAGCTGCTCTAAAAGCTGTGATGCAGAGAGAGGTAACTAATGCAGTCCCCAGTACCACACATCAGTGGGACTAGATATATTTGGAGCTATTTCCCTCTATATCACATCAACATTATATAGGGCAGACTTTCCTCACAGTATGAAATAGCAGTAGTTGCCTGTAAAATACTACCTGCAAATTAAAAATTCTAAAAATTGAATGCAGTTTTTCTATGGTATATATATATATGGTATACAAAAGCACATGTATTGCAAGACTGGCTGCATTTAATTACTGGCGTGTAAGGGACAAGGATCATGGGTGGCTTTTTGTTTTTTGATATTGCAATAAGATATCCTTTGTCTATGATCTTCTTTTAAAAGTACAGGGACTGAAAACATCTATACTCTTCGGCCATTTCTCTTGATCCCTGTTGAGTAGATTCCCAGGAGTGGAATTTCTAGCTTAGAGGATTAATGCACCTGAATATTTTGTAGGTTTGACATGGGGCTTGCACCCTTTTGCACTCCTATCACTAATGCATGAGTGACTATTTCTTCTCAGCCTCACCATCAGTGTGTATTGGCATCTGAGTTTTTGCCAATTTGATAGGTCAGGAACGAATTACATTCTTGGTCTACACTTTGCTATAAGAGGTAGAAGGTATCCTGTGATAGAGAGAAGTGATCAAGCACTGCAAGAGTTTCTGAGAGCACTCCTTTGAAAGTGTGAGCTCTGTTCACAGCCGATGATTTCCTCCCCTGCCTCATGCACAGAAGTAGCCAAAGTTATACTGCATGACCCCACTTCCATAGCCATAAATGATTGAACCAGGGGAAACACTTAAGGCCATTCAGATTCTCTCCACTGGGAACTGGGGATTACAACTGAGCAACAGCCAGTTAATCTGAGTGGGCCTGAATTTGTGAATGTGTAGTCGAGGCAAAACTTTACATCTACTCTCTTAGGGTCTTTGGCTGGGCCTGAGAATTAATTGACATAAGATAGGTTAGTAGGAGAAAGGCATAAAGATTTAATATAAATTTTATGTGACATAGGAGCTGTCATAAAGAAATGAAGACCCAAAGAAATGGCAAAAACTACATGCTTTTATTAATATATTGGGTTGAACAAAGAGAGGCAATTGTGGAAAAGTAACTAAATTATGTTGGGAAGCTAAAAGGAAGATAATAATTATCTTAACAAGGTCTGTTTGTACAGAATTCTCTCAGCTAAGACTCCCGATTGAATAATGTTTCCTTTCTCCTAATACAGGGAGGACATCTTTCACATGGGAGATTTTAACTTCCTATTTTCAGGAAGAAAAAGGGAGATTAGAATGCCCTTCTTGTATCTATTTTTCAAGTACCTTTAGCTGAAAGTAATCCTTATGCCAGAGTGGAATGTTTTGGGGTAGCATATTTTGCCACCCTTCAAATGTAAATTTAAGAGTTTTGGGGTGGCCAGATTCCTCCATGTGAACTGAGACTGCCGGGAAAGTCTGTTATGGAGAGAAACAGATGAAATGGAAAGCAGAGAGAAGCAGTCTTAACACTTTCCAAGTCCTCGTTCTAGTCTCTTCCTGAAGCCCTTGGATTGTGCACATTTCACATTCAGCTGTGCAGCTCAGGTTGGTTTCTGGTTCTTGTAATTGGCATGCATTTAACATGGTTTGTAAAAATCATGTTCCACTTTAGTAATTTGTTTAAAATGGAACATGTTTTTGGCATATTTCATTGACATATAATTTTTGTTTTTATTTTTTTAGAGATAGGGTCTCATTCTGTTGCCCAAGCTGGAGCGCAGTGGTACAGTGGCACAATCATGGCTCACTGCAGCCTTGACCACAAGAATCAAGTGATCCTCCTACCTCAGCCTCCTGAGTTGCTGGAACTACAGGTGCGAGCCACCACACCTGGCTAATTAAAAACAAACAAACAAACAAACAAAAAACAACTGTGTGTGTAGAGATAGCGTCTCACTATGTTGCCCAAACTGGTCTTAAACTCCTGGGCTCAGGTGATCTTCCTGCTTCAGCCTCCCAAAGTACTGAAATTACAGGCATGAGCCACTGTACCCAGGATCACTGTCATTATTCTTGATGGATCAATGCACACAGTTAAGTTCTTATCTGTTACCATGGGAAGCAGAGTAGTGGAAACGGCTAAGAACTTACTCTGAAGCCTGTCTGGGCTCAACTCCCTGTTCTCATGTCCCTTCATTTGTGAAATGGGTATCACAGTAGTAGTTACCTCACTGAGTTATGGTATGTACGATCTGGGTGTTTCACGTAGTAAGTTCTCTTCAGCCATTGTGCTTGTCTACTCTTGAGGTAGGTAAGAAATTGGCCAAGAACATCTTCTTCATTAAATAAACAGTCCTCTTAGCTGACAAACAACTTTAGAAGGAGAAAACCCAACAAGATCAGCGGTTCTCAAAGCGTGATCCCTAGATCAACAGCATCAGCATCATCTGACAACTTGTCAGAAATGCAAATTTTTGAGCCCCCTCACCCCCCACATTTACTGAATCAGAAATTCTGGGGGTAGGGCCCAACAAGCTATAGTTTAACAAGCCTCCCAGGTAATTCTGATGCTCGTTAAAGTTTGAGAACCACTGAACTCCATGATCTGGGGTATCTGGTCCTAATTAGTCCCGTATCCTAAGATCCTGTTGTTTGATCCTTAATGACTTTTAACTTGACTAATAGGTATTTTTCTATATTACTCATAAGTTAGAATTATTGAATAATTGACATTTTCTGGCAGCATTGTAGCTCAGTCCTCTAATGCTGAAAAAAAATTGGTATTTGGAAGAATCATCCTGTTTTAAATTAAGTTTTTGGGAACTGACTTCAAAGCCATATGAGTTTTCTGGCTGTGGGAATGCTATTGAATCAATAATTAGTTTTAAAAGGCTGAGGCAGGAGGATCGCTTGAGGCCAAGAGCTTGAAGCCAGCCTGAGAAACATAGGAAGACTTCATCTCTACAAAAGATTTAAAAATTTAGCCAAGAGTGGTGGTGCATGCTTGTAGTCCCACTTAGGAGGCTGAGGTGGGAGGATCACTTGAACCCAGTAGTTCAAGGTTTCAGTGAGCTATGACCACATCATTCCAGCCTAGGCAACAGAGCAGGACCCTGTTTAAAAAAAAAAAAAAAAGAATTAGTTAAAAAACCTTTCTCTGGGCTGGGCACAGTGGCTCACGCCTATAATCCCAGCACTTTGGGAGGCCGAGGTGGGCAGATCACCTGAAGTCAGGTGTTCAAGACCATCCTGGCCAACATGGTGAAACCTTGTCTACTAAAAATTAAAAATTAGCCAGGCATAATGGCGGGTGCCTGTAATCCCAGTTATTCAGGAGGCTGAGGCAGGAGAATCGCTTGAACCCTGGAGGCAGAGGTTGCAATGAGCCGAGATTGCGCCATTGCACTCCAGCCTAGGCAACAGAGCGAGCGAGACTCCGTCTCAAGACAAACAAACAAAAAAACAAACATCTTTTTCTGAGAGACACTTCTGGATTTTTCATCCCTGAAAGTTCTAAAGGAAAAACAATATTCTGGAGCTGTAGTCTGTGGGTTTTCTGAGTTTGCATATTCTGATTGTTCTGTAAGTATAGGCTAACTGGCATAAAGACTAACAGTTGGCAATATCAACTACAAATTAAATTCCAAATATAAGAATTACAGAAGTTTGCCAATATCTCTTACAAAAACAGAAAAAGGTGAAAATAGATAGGAGCCTCCATGTTTTCATACCTTTCCAAGCAATGATTGCTTAATTTAAGAATAAATTACCAATATCCTTCAGTTAATATCTCTGTGAGCTGTTAAACATTCAAACTGTACTTAGTCAAGTTATCTCTATGTGCTAAGTCCCAATGTAATGAATTCTGGGATTTTCCTGTCTGACTTAATGCTGAGAATGTGGTAAATATCACATTTAATAGCTATTGTAAGATTCTATAGCTCTGGGCCAATGGGATTCATACTTATTTAATTGTAGACATACTGAAGAGTTGATGAAGTGGGTGATATAAGAGCAATAGGAAGAAAACTATGTTTGGAAACTATCTATCTTAGGTATTAACTTCCAAACAGTATTTGTAAGCGCTGGTAGTATACGAGGAGTGCAAACAAGGAGTATAGCATATTGAAGTACTCAGGTTATATTTGTTATCACTGAAGAAATGGTGTGTTCATACAGCCTGTGGGCAGAGAATTAACTTTCCAGTTTTAGGGAGGAACCTTTAGAAAAAAAAAAAAACGATTAGGGCTAATTACATACAGACAGTCTCTGACTTATGATAGTTCGATTTAACAATTTTTCCACTTTATGATGACACAAAAGTGATATACATTCAGTAGAAACTGTACTTTGAGTACCCATACAACAATTCTGTTTTTCACATTCAGTATAATATTTAATAAATTACATGAGCTACTCAACACCTTATTATAAAATAAGCTTTGTGTTAGATGATTTTGCGACTGTAGGCTAATATAAGTGTTCTGAGCACATTTAAGATGGTGTAGGCTAAACTGTGATGTCCAGTAGGTTAGATGAATTAAATGCATTTTTTACTTAGATATTTTCAACATACAATGAATTTACCAGGATGTAATCCCATCATAAGTCAAAGAGCATCTGCACTTAACAAATCTGTAACATACTTTTAACTCTTCTGATTTTTCAAAAGTCTGCTTAACAAATGAACAAAGGCCACATTTATTGTCTAGTAACAATAAAAATGACAGATTTAAAATGTGCCTCTGATGGTGAATGTTATGGGCTAAGTTTTACCTCCTAAAATTAATATGTTGACAGCCTAACCCTCAATACCTCAAAATGTAACTGTATTTGGAGATAGGGTC